TAGGTAATACAAAGTACCAGCTCCAAGCCATATGTAGGTAATACAAAGTACCAGCTCCAAGCCATATGTAGGTAATACAAAGTACCAGCTCCAAGCCGTATGTAGGTAATACAAAGTACCAGCTCCAAGCCATATGTAGGTAATACAAAGTACCAGCTCCAAGCCGTATGTAGGAAATACAAAGTACCAGCTCCAAGCCGTATGTAGGTAATACAAAGTACCAGCTCCAAGCCATATGTAGGTAATACAAAGTACCAGCTCCAAGCCATATGTAGGTAATACAAAGTACCAGCTCCAAGCCGTATGTAGGAAATACAAAGTACCAGCTCCAAGCCGTATGTAGGTAATACAAAGTACCAGCTCCAAGCCATATGTAGGTAATACAAAGTACCAGCTCCAAGCCATATGTAGGTAATACAAAGTACCAGCTCCAAGCCATATGTAGGTAATACAAAGTACCAGCTCCAAGCCATATGTAGGTAATACAAAGTACCAGCTCCAAGCCATATGTAGGTAATACAAAGTACCAGCTCCAAGCCATATGTAGGTAATACAAAGTACCAGCTCCAAGCCGTATGTAGGTAATACAAAGTACCAGCTCCAAGCCACATGTACATAATACAAGTACCAGCTCCAAACCATATGAGGTAATACAAAGTACCAGCTCCAAGCCCGTATGTCACGTGTAATACAAAGTACCATCTCAAGCCACATGTACACATAATACAAAGTACCAGCTCCAAGCCATGTACATAATACAAAATTACCAGCTCCAGTATACATATGTAGGTAATACAAATTTCAGCTCCAAACCATATGTAGGTAATACAAAAGTACCAGCTCCAAACCATATGTAGGTAATACAAAGTACCAGCTCCAAGCCGTATGTAGGTAATACAAAGTACCAGCTCCAAGCCATATGTAGGTAATACAAAGTACCAGCTCCAAGCCATATGTAGGTAATACAAAGTACCAGCTCCAAGCCATATGTAGGTAATACAAAGTACCAGCTCCAAGCCGTATGTAGGTAATACAAAGTACCAGCTCCAAGCCACATGTACATAATACAAAGTACCAGCTCCAAGCCATATGTAGGTAATACAAAGAACCAGCTCCAAGCCATATGTAGGTAATACAAAGTACCAGCTCCAAGCCATATGTAGGTAATACAAAGTACCAGCTCCAAGCCATATGTAGGTAATACAAAGTACCAGCTCCAAGCCGTATGTAGGTAATACAAAGTACCAGCTCCAAGCCGTATGTAGGTAATACAAAGTACCAGCTCCAAGCCGTATGTAGGTAATACAAAGTACCAGCTCCAAGCCACATGTACATAATACAAAGTACAAGCTCCAAGCCATATGTAGGTAATACAAAGTACCAGCTCCAAGTCATATGTAGGTAATACAAAGTACCAGCTCCAAGCCATATGTAGGTAATACAAAGTACCAGCTCCAAGCCATATGTAGGTAATACAAAGTACCAGCTCCAAGCCGTATGTAGGAAATACAAAGTACCAGCTCCAAGCCGTATGTAGGAAATACAAAGTACCAGCTCCAAGCCGTATGTAGGTAATACAAAGTACCAGCTCCAAGCCATATGTAGGTAATACAAAGTACCAGCTCCAAGCCATATGTAGGTAATGCAAAGTACCAGCTCCAAGCCATATGTAGGTAATACAAAGTACCAGCTCCAAGCCACATGTGCATAATACAAAGTAGCAGCTCCAAGCCATATGTAGGTAATACAAAGTACCAGCTTCAAGCCATATGTAGGTAATACAAAGTACCAGCCCCAAGCCATATGTACGTAATACAAAGTACCAGCTCCAAGCCATATGTAGGTAATACAAGGTACCAGCTCCAAGCCATATGTAGGTAATACAAAGTACCAGCTCCAAGCCATATGTAGGTAATACAAAGTACCAGCTCCAAGCCATATGTAGGTAATACAAAGTACCAGCTCCAAGCCATATGTAGGTAATACAAAGTATCAGCTCCAAGCCACATGTACATAATACAAAGTAGCAGCTCCAAGCCATATGTAGGTAATACAAAGTACCAGCTTCAAGCCATATGTAGGTAATACAAAGTACCAGCCCCAAGCCATATGTACGTAATACAAAGTACCAGCTCCAAGCCATATGTAGGTAATACAAAGTACCAGCTCCAAGCCGTATGTAGGTAATACAAAGTACCAGCTCCAAGCCGTATGTAGGTAATACAAAGTACCAGCTCCAAGCCATATGTAGGTAATACAAATACAACAGTACCAAGCTCCAAGCCATATGTAGGTAATACAAAGTACCAGCTCCAAGCCATATGTAGGTAATACAAAGTACCAGCTCCAAGCCATATGTAGGTAATACAAAGTACCAGCTCCAAGCCATATGTAGGTAATACAAAGTACCAGCTCCAAGCCATATGTAGGTAATACAAAGTACCAGCTCCAAGCCATATGTAGGTAATACAAAGTACCAGCTCCAAGCCATATGTAGGTAATACAAAGTACCAGCTCCAAGCCGTATGTACGTAATACAAAGTACCATCTCCAAGCCACATGTACATAATACAAAGTACCAGCTCCAAGCCACATGTACATAATACAAAGTACCAGCTCCAAGCCATATGTAGGTAATACAAAGTACCAGCTCCAAGCCATATGTAGGTAATACAAAGTACCAGCTCCAAGCCATATGTAGGTAATACAAAGTACCAGCTCCAAGCCGTATGTAGGTAATACAAAGTACCAGCTCCAAGCCATATGTAGGTAATACAAAGTACCAGCTCCAAACCGTATGTAGGTAATACAAAGTACCAGCTCCAAACCGTATGTAGGTAATACAAAGTATCAACTCCTTCATCCATCCACACATCGTGCATTTTCACTTTCCACTGTGTGATTTCACTATGTGTTGTTTTTAACTGATGCTTTAACATTTAATTAAGGTTAATTTGTACATTACTTAAGCAAATCCTTTGGTGCGCTCTCTGTGTAGAGGACAATTTTAGTTTGCTGTTTTTTGGGGGGAGGATTCAGTCCCATGTAGGTGTTACCAAGATCAGTAGATGTACCTTGATTTATAGCTGATTTCCTGAAATGATTCTTGATTATCCTCGAGATTACATTATTTTCCTTTGATACAGTGACTGAATTATTAGCGACTGCTGCCTGGGAATGTAACTCCCACTAACCTTGGGCTGGCTGGGACAATACATTCAGTGCTGTCTTGATATATAGCACAATCCCACACACAGTAGATAGCCATCATCTTTATTTGCATTGACAGCTTTGTATTCTTGAATAATGTATAACCATTTTGTCCATCAGTCTGAACACTGGGTTAAATGACAAGCTATTGCTATTGATGAATTAAATATTTCTTCAAAGGGAGCCGTGACCATATGAACTAAGCAATAATATATCTGACTGACAGATGATCTGGTTTGTGGTATAAAAATTTGGAATATGGTCTTACCGGTACATTTTTCCCAGGTCTGTGCTTTTGCACTCTAGTAGATTCATTAAATCATGCTGCGTGGCTTGATCAAAAGTTGTCTATGAGATAACATACTGTAACATTTATTTATATGTATATATATTATATATTTATATGTAACCTGGTGTCTTGAGTTAATAGTGATAAAGATAAGCAATGGAAATGTATAACATAGTAAATATTACTCAATGGATACACAATTACACAATTTAAAAAATAATTCCTGCAGGTCATCACACCATCTTGATAGGAGATTAGAAAGGGTTTACAGCGCATCACTTTACAAATGTAAATCTAGTAAGACTTTTGTGAGACAAAACAAAAATCATGCAGAAACCTCATCAGATTGTTCATGATACTTTATTGTAGGTGCAGTGAAAGTGATAATGTTTTATATAGTAATTTGAACAGAGATTTTGCTATTTTGCAGCACAGCTGATGCAATAAAACTCACCTGACCAAGATTGGTGGAGATTCTGGTCCTTGTGCTCTGGGCACCAGCAGCTTTGTAAAGATCAGAGTGTTTATTAAGTGATTTAATGATGGTATGGTTTGTCCCTGGGTGATCCAGCATGTTCCAACTATTGTACAGTACAACAATAAACTAATTCTTTTAAACATGCCCTAAAGGAGGCACTGATCATTACCACCATAAATCTGGTGATTAGGTATATATTTAGAGGGCAAATATTATTTCCCAGGTTGTTTAATACTATGTTTACTTATCCTTCTATTTAGCAGACTTTTGTACTTTGTATGATATGAAAAATAAAATGTAGTAATCCACACACTTTATCCTGTAACTAGGCACCTCCATCTCATTTACTCGTTGATCTTTATCACCTCTGTTCTTTGGATTCTGCAGTCTGCATAGAGAAATCCTAGAGAGAAATTAAACAATGTTTCTATTTCACCTCTTCCTTTACAATGTTTGCTCATAGAATAACACAAGTTTGGTCAATATACAAGCATATGGGCAGATCAGTAATGTCTTGGGTCAGCCAGCAATATCCTGTTTGCCAGGTACAAAGGGGGACATTTTGACCGCTTCCCATGTATCTGTAACGGGTTGTCGTGGAGATGTAATAGAGGAGTCCGTGAGGCCTAGTTTTTGAAGCAACTTCTAAAACACAAGAACTTTTGTTACAAAATTCAACTTCCATTCAAATTAAAAAATTATGTTTTAACATTTTTATAATAAATCTAGAATACCATTAACATGTTGCCATGTAAATATAATTTATAGACCTTTGATTAAATGTTTTATAATGTTCTGTAGACTGTTATGTCAGGGCGTAAATCGTTTGCAGTTCAAATGTCAATTCCTTGTTTAGTGAATAAAATCCAGTTTGTTTTGTGTACCTCCAGAACAACAGAACGCTTGCTATATAGGAACCCTGTATTGAAATGTGTATTGGATCACACAGGGCTCTTACTAGCTCTGATTATAAGCTTACCGTGTTTCAGTGGAGATGATAAAACATTGATTCCTTAATTGACAGGTGGAAATATGCCATAAATGGTATCCTTGAAGTAAATGTAAAACCGGGCCTACACATGTGGTCATGGAGGCACATTCGGAGACACAGACAGGCAGTTAAGCGATACAAAGAAATATACAAGTCGAAGATTACCACTAAGAAGCCTTTGGAGGATGTACTGTGTGTTTGTGAGGTTGTACTTTTTCTATGTCATACTGATTTACCAATTGTAGTATATGAATGAATATTTTGTTCACTGTAAGTACATTTTTCTTGACCTACACAAATATTTTTTTGTGCAAAAGTCCTATAATACAAGAGAAGTTTTAAGTATTCTATTTTATTTATTTCTTAGGATTATGAGAAGACCCTGGACATTTTTAACATAACTCTAGCACGGCAACAAGCAGAAGTGGAGGTAAAAACAAGTTTTATAGTTTAAAAGATATCTATAAATAAGGAAATGTTTATTTTCAGCTACAAACAGTTTCTCTGTATGGCCATCACTACCTTTATAGAAATAAAAAACAAAATCAAACTCCTCTAACATGAAAGAGGCCTGTGAGATCCCCAGCATTATCCCTGAGATAACAAAGATCCTTCAAACCAACATTGCGTAATAAATAATGCTGGGCAAAGGGGTATTTGTATACGTATGCGATGTACCCTGAGCAACAATGCTTACTTAATGGTACCTTACCTTTTTTCCCAATAATGTTAGAATTTATGCCAGACAATATGCCATTTTGCACATGGGAACTGCAATGCCACTACAACATTTTGGTTTCCTGTTGGAATTTTTCCTACAGCACTTTATGGCTGACTGCTTATTTACAACATCTGGTAAATTGAATTTGATGTAAAAATGCTGTGATGACAAAAAAAAAGCAATTTAATAATTGACCCTTATATTGCATCAAAATCCACTCTGGCTATTCTATAGGTCCAATCAGTTGAGTTTAATATGAACTGGTAATGTAAGCTAGGGTAATGTAAGCTAGTTCTTGCTCTTATTTTCATCGTCAGGCATGCAAATCTGGCCTTAAAATATTTAAAGCGGGAGCTAAAGATGATGACAGTAACTCAAAGG